AAAAAAAAAATTTGTGGAGAGAAAAATAAAGAGAACCTAGGGGTGCTTTGGCTTTTAACACCAAGTCTCCTGGCACCGCCTGTGTCTGAGACAACCTTGGTGGTCTAGCAATATTGTATACGAGTCTTCTAGTTGGACAATAAACGACATTTGTGGATTTGTCCATGACCTCTCTTCTTCATGCACTGGCAGTCTCCAGTGTCATCATTAATTAGTCTTCAGGTCTCCCATTTGTCTGCTAGAAAGCATCTCGGATAAGCCAAGTTAATTAATTGGAGCGGGCAAGCTGCCTGGCCACCGGAACGCGCGACTGTTCAGGGACAGTCAGAGGGCAGCCCTCTCCTTTGATCCTGTGGAGAAGTTTAATTCTAACAGGCCACGTGGGAGTCCCAGCCCATGGGGGTGCAGAGAAGACCTCCGAGCACAGTGGTGGAGCTGCTCTCATTTGTACTGGTTTCAGTTTCTAATTTCAAAACCATGAGGTTCAGAGGCCTAGGGGAGTTGTTTTACATTTTGCTTCATCTTTCCCCAAGAGTTTGCCTGCATTCTTCAGTGAATTCTCGCAATGGGTGGTGGAACTTCGGCAAGGGAATGAAAATCATTATCCCTATGTTCTAAACAGGAGATTTGCGCTATGGCTGTATTTCCATAAATATCGTGCCTAGCATCTGTAGTGAATAATCCCCAGCCATGACTCTCTTGCTGTGCTGACTTTGACATGTTTCCCAACCAATTTTACTAAATCATAAAAATAACAAATAATATTTATGAGCCTGCTTGCTAGTGCCAAGCATTCTGCAAACCACTATTCGTGCATTATCCTAGTTAATTCTTATGTCGTGCCTATCGGTAGGGAGGTCCCCATTTTGCAGATGTGAAAAACAAGCTGCAGCCCACCTGGGCCCAGGTGGGTCTCCATCCAAGCACAAGTTCTTTACCACCTCATGATATGGCCTCATAAAATTTGAGCCATTTGATGGGCACCCCTTGGGCTCTGACACCACAGCCAGGACAAAGGGAGAGCTGCAATGATCAACCCTGTTAATTCGGGCAAAAGTAGAAGTTTTGCTTTTGTAACTGGGGAGGCAAGCTTTGCCTTTAACTTTGCTTTCATTAGAGAGAAATGCCCTTGAAGGAATTACTGTCATAGCTTCAATTATATCCTATTACAAAATTGTAGACATGTCTCATGTTATTGGTGTTCATAAAAAATAATTCTATATAAATGAAATTGTTAGAATTTGAATATAGTAGAGGGTGAATTAAAGGATTTAAAGGACTCTCCCAGTTTATTAATATATCGTGAGAAATTCTAGCTCTCCCTTATATATGGCTGCATGTGTTCTTAGAATTGTAGCTGGATATCTTCAGAAAAGTTTATGTGGCCATGAAAGTTTCTTGAGAAATGCTGATTCTTCACAGCAGATGTCTTTCTAAGTGTATCTGATCAATGGTCTGTTCTTGGCCTACCCTCAGAACTTACCCAATCAGGACAATCACCTTTACATCCTTGCTTATGCCCCTCAGGGTGAAATCGTGGATGTTTCTAGGGTCTTTAAAATATACTAACCCCTTTCAGGTCAGCTTGGGATACCTCACAGTGCTTGAGGAGTACAGAAACTCTGAACGCATGGCACAACTCTCCCAGAAAGGGAAGAAGAAGGGAAGAGACAAGCAGGTCACACTGCATCCCCGAAAAGCTCACCTGAGTCGGGGTCAACAATGCTAATTTTATTTAGTTAAGCTGAGGAAATCCGATGTTTTGGCCAGATGCATGGAGCTCCCTAGAAAAGTTTGGGGACAAGTAAATGAAACCTTCATGGTGATGTCTCAGGGATTAATATAAGTACATGAATAAATACAATTAAAAGTAAAACATAAACGCTATACAGAAGGTACGAGAGATGTTTAAAGGATGCAAAAAATTTGGATTGGAAAAAGCTTTATGGCAATGGTGGCATCTCAGAGAAACTTTTTTGGATGAACAGGACTTTGTCAGATGTAGTGGAAAATATGTATGGGGTGAGAGTAAGAGCAGAGAAAACCCCCATGAGTGAAGGCACAGAACTTGGGAGGTGGGTTGATATAATTAGGAAAAATTGAATAATTTGCATTTGGTTGCTTAAATATATGGGAAATACAGGTGAAAGGTGCCATAAAAGGAAGGGTCTTAAATTCCTGGAGTTTGAATTTAATTGAATGAGCAATGAAACTCATTCATAGTTTTATCTCTTTTGTACCTTTTCCCCTTTGTTTTCTATGGATGATCTTGCCTTATAATTTACAGAGACCAGAGAAAACTTAAGCTTTCAAGTTAACTCTTGGTCTCTTTCTTCTCTTATAAAACAAACAAAAACAAGATACCTTCCCCACTATTCCCAATCTCAGTAAATGGCACCACCAGCCACTCAGTGTTCATCCCTTAGCCTTCCTTCTTCCTCAACCCTACACTGGATGCATCAGCAAGACCTGTTTACTACTCAATTCTAAGAAATGACAGTGAGCTAGCACCATTTATGCTATCCTGCATTAAGCTTAAGGCTATTATCCAAAGTGAGGTGACACAAGATCAAGAAAGCGGACTCCACATCTACTCGCCATCAAATTGGTACTGACTGATTAAAACTATGGTGCTTAAATGGTGATAGTGCCCACCAGGGTTTGGGGGAGAGGAAGATACACATCTTAGGGTTGTGGCAAGCAGTGTGTGGGGGAAGAAATACCTCTAACCCTTCCTAGGGAAAGGCAAAGATATACAATGTAACCCAAAGGTCAAAAAAAAGAAAAAAAACACACAAACTTTTATCAGGTGGTGGGCAGATGGGAGGGGGGAGGAGGGGAAGAATTTATACTTACAAAATAGGTGTGATGCGCACCACCTGGGGGTAGGACATGCTTGATGTTTTGGTAAGGCAGGGGGTGAGGGGAGGAATGGCAGGGGCAATATATGTAACCCTAACAATATTTGTACCCCCATAATATGATAAAATAAAATAAATTTTTAAAAAAAGACCTATTTGTGTCACCTCCAAAACATATCCTAGATCTGTCGTCTTTCTCTCTCTCCTCGAACATCACTCTATCCCAAACAAAGCACCCCTATTTGGAGAAAAGAATAGTGATGGGAAGAACCGACTTTACTCTTTGGCCACAGGTCCACCTACTTAGAAAGAAGTAAATGGAAATCTGATAACAGTAGAGAAGTTATAAAGTAGATACTATAGAGAGGACATATAAGCTTACAAAGAAAGGTAAAAGTGTGGGGGAAAAAGGGATGTTTTGAACTGATGGTTTGGCTGGTTTTAAGGAATTTGTTTCCCATTTGTCTTGAGGGTAGGATTTGTATTTCTTCAATAAGGTTGGTCATTAACCCTTTGCACTCGGATGTTGAGTGTGGATAATGTCGAGTAGATAATGAGAAAAAAGCAAGCGAGTGCAAAGGGTTAAAAGAATTAGTCTTTGCATCCCAATGGACAGTGTTTCCTAGAGAGCACTGTAATGGCTGGTCATCAGAATCACTAATAGCAGATATTCTAGATAACCTCCATTAAAAACTTTTAGAAAGTATGAATAGCAATGCTAATAGCCAGAGTGTGAATTTAGGTCCTCCTGCCCTATCATCTGGCATCCCTGTCTCATTACGAGAAACCATGGATACCTCTGGGAATGTAGGATGTTCTGACCTTGACTCTGAAAATGACAAAAAGGGTTCCCTCAAGCCATGCTTGCACCTGTCAGCACAGGCTTTTAGTCTCCCAGAGTTGTCTAGGGTTTTAGCAGTCTGGTTGGCAATGTTGCAGATGAAACATGTCAGATAACTAATGTCAGAGGGCATTTGAGGGGCCTCTTTTGCATTTTCTGTGTTTCAATGCTGACATGCTTGTTGCTTTGCTGGTCAAGGTAGTAAAGGTTCTGGGATGCGAGTTTCTTTATGCCTGATTACTGGAAGGGAACTTCCAAATGTAAACGAAGGTCCTCTTCCTGACCCTCTTCTTCCAAATGCCACACTTCTATGTTTTTAAATTCCTCTAAGATCTGTGATGTATGTTTCTCTATTTTTTAACCAGGTGGCATGATTTCTTTATGGTGAAAATTCTAATGCCTTTATCTAGTCTCTCGGACAATGATATATCAGTAAGTTCTGGCCATGGTCAATAGACAAAAGAGATCATGACTCAGCTCTGGCTTTGGAGAAATGAATCTTTTCCTAACCCAGCGCATTTCTGCAACTGGCACAAACATAGAAACCTTGGGGAGGTGACTCTTGCATGGGTTAATGGCCTTTTGTGATGTTGCACTGTGGTTTATTATGATTTCCGTGCAGCGAAGTCAGAACTCTCCAATTCAAGGCAACTTGATTATCAACAAAGCAGTCTATTACAAATTCCAGATATTCTGTCTGAAGTAAATCACATAAAGTTATTTCACATGTGCTAGCAGAGAATTCATAGGAAGAGTAGGTTGAATGGGAAGCACACAGAGCAGACTCAGTCCTGCCTAACCTGGTTAGTTCTTGTGCTGGGATGTGTGTATCTCCCCGAGGAATCACCAGTTTGTCAGTGTCAGACAACTTGGATGCCTGGACATTTCTGGAAAATCCTTTTCAAGCTCTAGTTTTGGAGTATGAATCTGAAGAGGGTCAGGGCCCTTAATTCCCTGAAGCTGGTCCTCAAGTAGTTTTTGCCTCTTTTTATTTTGGGAGAATCAAAAGCTGAATGCTCTACCTGTCCCAGATCAGCAATTTTTCTGGATCTTTAGAAGGAAAATGGAAGGATTGTACATTTCCCTGTTCCTGAAAAGAGAGGTAGAATGAACTAATTATTTTTTGTTCTGTTTTGTTTCGATTTTTGTTTTTCCCTTTGGAATTTGAATAAATACTGATTTGACAAGGAGTCTGCACAGTTGATATCCTGATATCCAGGCCATAGTGCCTGGCCCATAATAGGAGCTCAGCAAATATGTGTTCTTGAGTAAATACAATTCTGAATTTCTCTTCACAGTGAGCGAGAAACAGATGACGGTGGTGTGCAAGGAGTCCCCAAAGGAGTATCTCCAGCCTTTCAAGGACAAACTAGAGGAGTTCTTCCAGAAAGGTAAGAGGTCGTGGTGGCTACGTGTACACAGTGCTATGGAACATCCTTCTTTCTGTGACTCTTTCTCTGAGGCCCACGGCCCCACGCAGCCTGGCTGACCATGGGCAGCTTCACTGATTTTGTTAGTCTGTCTTCCCATGGTGGTTACATACTCGATGTAGGTGGAGTTGCCCTGCAGCTTTCATATCACCTTGCAAGTCCATTTTAATATTTTAGATCCTTTGATTTAATCCTGTTTTTGGAAACTTTTTGAGGATAAACCTTTTTGTCTCTTGATGGAGCTCAAGGGGATCCACAGGGCATGCTCACTGACAAGTGAGTACGTGCAGGGCTCATGCAGTCATGTGTTTCACGTTTGTGGTCAGCCTGGACAGGTGGATGGTGATTATCTTCCTGGTTTTATGAGTGTAGCAATTTGGAAACTTGCACTTTCCATTCCTTTCCAGATAGGAAAATTAGGGCCAAGTGAATGTCACACATCTAACGACTTGGCACCCGTCAGCCCTTTGGGGTTAGTACATGGAAGTGACACGCATGAGACCCAGTACTTGCTTAGAAATCTGAACAAGTTCTGTTCCTTCCCCCACAGTTTTGGCAAGAGTAGGGATAGGAAACTTTTGTTGATCAGGATTAGTGAACATGAAAGTTTAATGCCTTTTAGATATTTCCTATTATATTTCTCAAATTTAACTTAAGATGTAAAGCAAAAGTAAGGGTAGGTTGGAGGGACCCTTTTTCTTTGCTAGAAAGCCAAAGGAAATGCATGTAGGAACCTTTGGGATAATCCAGCATGTTGTTTCTATTATTGAATAAGGCCACATGATACCACACCATCAACAAAAGACTGTTAAACAGGGTGAATCTATAAAGTATGGCCAAACCACCTGGAGAATTGGCAGGGAAATTCACAGTCTGTGAATCACAGGAACTCCATTCCAGCTGCTCCCTTGGGGCAGAGATCATTGCTTCTTCCTCTGTGACCAGAGGTTGCTTGTACTGAAGCAGGAGAAGTCAGAGTTCCCTCTTGGACATTGCAGAACCTTATGTATGATGGAAGAAATGCAGCCAGGCCAAGTACCATCTTCAGAGCAAACAGTGATACCAATACATAAGTGATATGGGACTATAATGGGTGGGTTTTATATATGACTTATCAAAATAATCACACCACTTTATAAATAAACCATGTCAATATAACCTAAATGACCTGAACAAAAGTATAAAATACTTTCCTTTGCTGACCCCCAATTAGTTAGTGTCTGCTTTTAACATAATGAAGAATTAACTGGAAATAATGCTGTTGTGTACTTGGATTCCGTTTTTATTTTGAATTGCCATTATTCTATATCTGGAAAAGTCTGCAATGTGTATGTCAGGGTATTATCTGCCTGTGCGCTGTAATGGCCTCACAGTCCTTCCTCTTCAAACCAGCTAGCATCTTGAAGCACTTAGATTGTGAATTTTATTCTTTTTGTTGAAAAGAGATAAATATGAGTAGATTTGGAACCTTAAGAATCTTCATTGGTACCTTAAAAAAGGAATTTACAAATCAGCCTTTGGGGTTTTGTGGTAACCTCTTTTCCACTAGATCTCTCAAAAAAATTTTGGTCTATTCAGAGAAAAAGAATTGACTTGAGGCAAACTGGATCTTGTGTTAGGGAAGCAGGGGTGTGGCCATAGCAAGCTGTTCTAAGAAAGTCCTAGAGCAGTGGTTCACTAGAATCAGCTGGGGGAGATATTTTTTAAAAAATCTTGACACCTAGCCAAACTCTAGACCAGGTGTCCTGAAACTACCACCTGCGGGCCACATGCAGGTGTTTTTGCCCGTTTGTTTTTTTACTTCAAAATAAGATATGTGCAGTGTGCATAGTTTTTTTTAAACTATAGTCTGGCCCTCCAACGGTCTGAGAGACAGTGAACTGGCCCCCTGTTTAAAAAGTTTGAGGACTCCTGCTCTAGACCCATCACCAGCATCTCTGGGAGTGAAACCTGGCATCAGAATTTTTTTTACTCCCCAGTTGATTCCAATGGGAAATCCAGGTTGAGACCACTGTTGTTGAGCTTAGTTCACCTTTTAATGTGTGTTCAAAGATACTTATTCAGAATCTGCTATACATTAGGCATTGTAATAGCACTGGGAATGCTAAGATAAATCCTATATTCCATGAACCTCTTCCAAAAACTGTCTTATTGGGAAAAGATCTATAATGTAATATAGCCAGCTCTCTAAAAGAATTTGCAGGAAACATTACCATTCTATTAAAAAATTTAAGAATATAAAAATATATAATGTAGGAATCTTAAACATTCCTAATATTGTGTGGTGAAAAGTCTAGTGTTTAAATAGGCTATTATTACCAAGATCTCATTATAACTGAGTTGGTCAAAAAACAGCCTAGAATTGTACCATCCAACATGGCAGAAACCAGGCACATGTGGCTGTAAGCAACTGAAATGTGGCTAATCCAAATTGAGATGTGCTATAAGGATGAAACACACACTGAATTTTGAACATGTGAAATACTTCATTTCTGATTTTTTATATTACATGGTAAAGTGATAATCTCTTAAATATATTTGGTAAAATAAATTAACATTAATTTATGAGTAAATTAAATATATTAATAACTTAATATAATATAGTATTATTAAATTATCTATTTCTTTCACTTTTTAAAGTGTAGCTACCAGAAAATTTAAAATTTTGTTTGTGGTTCACTTTCTATTTCTATTGGAAAGTGCTAGTCTAGAGACATGGCCTGTAGGCCTGCCTCATCTCATTCCTTTACTCTCCTCTTCACATTATCGCTGTACCTGCTCAGCTTGAATCCTGCATTGTTGGAATGCAGAGTTACACAAGCTAGCCCCCTGCCCACTTTTGCTCTAGGTCTGGGCCGTGTTTGGCTCTCAGACAGGGCCACTTAACTGAAGGAGGTGACAACTTGCTACTTTACCAGGCTACATCTCTGTGATTCCAAAGTGTATGGTTAGGGTCTGTGGTTAAAAAATATGTTATAACCAACAGCAATATGATGTAGCTTAAGGTCTGGGGCTTTGCCAAGTTGCAGTATATACAAGTGGAATATCTCTTAGCTGCTATTTGGAATAGTAGTCCTTTTTTATGTAGATGTTTTAGTAATTCATAATAAATGTAGGATTTTCCACCCACCACAAATATGCATTATTCACCCTGGATAATCAAATTTGTATGACAATTGTCATACAGTCTAAGTATAGCATTTTATCTAAAATGCCACTCCTTGTAAGAAATACCATTATTACATGTGCTACCAATTAAACCATGACATGAGTATATGATGTACCTCAATACTAGAGATGCCAAAATGTGAAAATTACATTAATTTTGGAGTTGATATAATATGAGACTACAATTAGGCACATAGAATCGAAAAGGAACTTCCCGGTAAATTATGGAAGACTTTGAGCAAAGGAGATATTTTTGTTCAGACTTGGAAAAAGAACTAAGATGCTGCTGATGACATTGGTAACTAATATTTACTGAGTGCTTCTATACACTATATACAGTGCAGAGAAAATTATCTTTTTGCTTAGTCCTCATGATAACCCTCTGAATTAGCACCCCGTTGTACAGAAAAGGAGGTTGAGGCTTAGGAATTATCAGCAGACAAGCTACAAAAGGGCATCCTAGGCAGAGGAAAACGCTGCATATGTCAGAAGAATGGAAGACATGATGTGTTTGGTGAATGGCAAGAGACTTGGTGTGACTAGATCACAAGGCATATGAGAAGAACACAAGACCAAAAAGGAGATAAAAGTCAAAATATGACTTGCTAAAGAATCTGAACGTTGTCATATAGGCAACAGATAATACTGAAAAGTAGTGTGTGCAGGAGTGATAGGATCATATTGGGTTTGTTTTGGTGTGTGGAGTTTTTGAGGGAGGATCACTTTGCTTTTTATTGTTATTAAGAAATACATTATAATGAACAGCTGTATAAAAGAATTTGGGCAGGGCACAGTGGCTCACACCTGTAATCCTAGCTACTCAGAAGGCTTAGGCAGGAGAATTGCTTGAGGCCAGGAGTTTGAGGCTGCAGTGAGCTATGTTGACACCACTGCACCTCAGCTGGGACAACAGAGTGAAAACTTGTCTGAAAGAAACAGAGAGAGAGAGAGAGAGAGAGATTTGGACAAGCTATAAACTAGTAAAGAATGTGAGCAAAAGCAATGACAATAAAAATTTAAAAAGGGGGAACATACTGTAAACTTTAGTAACAGTCTGTTTTAGGTGTTGTAGGATAGGATGATCAATTATAAGTGCAAAATGAAACAGAGCAGAAGAGGACAACTCTTGTTTTTCATGCTTGGATAACTAACTGGATGCCGAGGAGGAAGACAAGATTTGGGATGGAAGACAGGTAAACGTTGGACATGTTCACTTTGCTTTACATGTGAGAGACACGGGGAGAGATGTGCCCATGCGAGAGAGCCAGTTGAGACTTTAGAGATAGCAGTTTAAGTCATAAGAATGAATGAGATAACAAGATAGCCTAAAGCAAGGGCATAGAATGGGAAGGTTCCTGAAGTTTCAGAGTGAGCACAGGGTATCATAGAATAACCATAATTGAGAAAAGATATTCCTATACTTCTATTGTACAGCTTATACAGAGTATTTGGCAAGAAAGCTAACTTTCCATTAGGGACTCTTATCACTCATGAAGTCTTACGCAATTATGTTCTTTATGCCTGAGAAGTCACATGCATTGTGACTCAGGATTATTTTCACATAAGTTGCAATTCAGTTCTTCTAACAATCATGATGACTTAATTTTTCTTTTGTAAATCATATCCTGTTGCCACACTCCAGTGGAGATGATGTGTTTGTCCTTAGGTCTTTTATCATCTTTCTGTTCTTAAAATGCCCTTATTTAGCATTATTTGACAAAACTGTAGTACTTGTTCTTGATTAATTTCATTTCCTGAGCAGAATTCAAAGTGATTTTAATGGCACCACTTTT